CACACACACACACACACACACACACACACACACACACACACACACACACACAGGGGTACCATGAGTCAGGGTCTACTTTACAGCAACTGGCTTTGAAAGATGCTCTTTACGACAGATTCACGGTCCCACAGCCAAAGCTTAAGTGCAGTGATTCAAAACGAGCTGTTCTGTTTGTTGGTAAGTGCCGTCAAGTTGGTTCCAACCCCTAGTGACCCTGTATAGGGGTTCCCAGGAGCGGCTGGTGAGCTTGAACTGCCAACCTTGCAGCTCATAGCGACTTTGCAGTCCAGCACATTAACCCACAGTACCACACCAGGGATTCAGCTTTTCTGGTTAGAATGATTTTATTGTGAAGGGGGCGGGCATGGGGTGTGGGGTACACTCGAAAGGCAGAGTCCTAGATCTGAGGACCGGCTGAAGGGCACTCCAGGTGACCAGGCTTTGTCAGAGGGTGGAAGCTGGAGCCCTACACCTAGCCTGGCTTACCTGTGATGCGGCCAAGTGACCAGGAGCTGGGAATGGGGGTTGGCTGACTAAGAGACAAGATCCCCCTCTGCGGTGAGTGGTTGTGTGTTACAAGGGGTCTCAATGAGACCTTCTGGGGTTCAGTTAGACCCCACCTGCTACCCTGGGGGGGTGGTCAGGTGTCTGCTCTGTCTCATGTGGGCTCCTGGAAAGCATGTGTCCTCCCCTCCCCCACCCAGCTTGCCTGGGGAGAGGGGTCTGAGGTGTCTCAGCAGATGAATCACTAACGGGGTTTCTATGTTCAGCCCCTCAGAAGGCCACCTCCTCCCCTACACCTGGAGTCCCAGGGCAATGTCCATCCGCCACTCTATGGTCCACTGGCTGCTGGTTTGGGTGGCTGGGTGGACCAGACCCATAATCTGGGCCCCATTTGCTCTAACCTGATGGCCGGTACTGGGAGGTGGGGTGGGGTGGAGCTGGAGTCCAGTACAGTGTTGGTGGGGAGATGGTGGGGTGCAGTGTTGTGACCCCCTCCCCCCCCAGTACAGGGTGCTCAGTACAGCAGCTCTCAGCACGAGGTGGTCTCTCTCTCCAACGTCAGGCTCCTAACACCTTCAGGACCCCCATGGCCCCTGCTCCAGCACTGACTATACACACAATCCCACTTGTCCCTCCTTTTGGGTCAAGGAAGGAGACCCCTTGGCATGGGGGCAGGAGTGGGGGTTACAGGCACCCCGAGTGAGCTCTCAGCCATGTGAGCAGGCCTGAGATGGGCCGGCCAGGGTTGGGGATGGGTGTCAGCAGGTAAGGAGCCCTTCAGTGACTCAGCTGAGGATGACACTCAGCTCCCAGGGGCCGGAACTGACCCGGGGGGCCGGGGACTGGCCCCGTGTCAGGTGTGTGGAGGCACAGGGAGGGGTGCAGGGTTGGGTGTGGGCTATGGGGTGGGGACAGGCCTAGGTGCTGGGTGCGAGTGTGCAGGCACAGGGAGGGGGCTGGGGACACAGGGCTGAACACTTGGGCTTCCTCCTAGGGATCCCGCAGACCCCACCCACTTGTCTCCCTGCTTCACCCACCAAGTGGGCCAGGAGGGGCTTTGGTTAGATATGGGGCCTGGAGCCCAGCGAGGGCGTCCTGGCAGCGAATACTGCACACAGCTGCCCTGAACGTTCATCTTCAACTGGACACTCGGGTCTTAAACCAGACTGTGCAGGTTCACAAAAGGAAGAGAGCAGGGGGGCTAGGAGACACCTCATGGAGCCCCCTCCTCATGTCAGCTTTATTGGAAACCACACGTTCACCTCCGTGAATGGGACAAGGGCCCCTGAGCCCTGGGCGGCCACCCTGGGCGGCCATGGCGAGGATGGCCTCAGCACTACCTCCTAGGTGGACTCTGGGTGTGGCCACTCCCTGGCCTCAAAGTAGTCCCTCAGGTCCCGGAGGCTGAGTGGGGGGAAGTAGGGTCCAATCCTCTTCCGGACCCACCACGCACCGACCGCGGCATGCTGGCCCCCGGGACGGCTGAACTTGTATCGGTAGTGTTCGGCACGGACCCACCTGCAGGGGAAGGTGGGATTAGCCCTGTGAGACTGTGCTCCTCCACCCACACTGGCCCCCCAGTCCAGCCGGGTTCCAGAGAACTGCAGCTCTCAGGGGCTTCCTGCCCACCGGAGTCCAGCAGCCATGACTGGAGACTCTCGGGGGAAGACACTGCACTGTGGCTCTGAGAAGCCCTCCAGGGGCCTGGGGACCCTCAACCATAGGGCCTTCTCTTCCCCCAGCACCCCACTTGGGGCCCGAGGAGGAGCTCTTGGCGTTTCACTGGCTCTAACCCTGTGTCCACTCACAGATGTGACCAGCCAAGTGGGCCAGGAGCGGTGGGTAGACAGAAGTTTGAGGAGTGGAACTCGGAAAAGGGCCTAGACGTGACTCTGACTTCCCCTGTGAGGTGAAACTGCCTAGTCCCCTTAGGAAAGCTCATGTCTGCTTCAACACAGCACTCTGGGGTGGGGGTGGGGGGGACCTCCTTCTGTACCCCACTATCTGGAATGTTCATCATTAGAGATGTGAACACAGAGTTGCGTTGGTTTTCAACAACCACACACAACTGCTGTGTTCTTGGGGGGGGGGGAATGGGAGAAGATTCTAGAAACTGACTCCAGATAAGGTTGTGAGACACCACACTAGCTTGTGGGAAACAGGACAGGGAAGGGTGGTGGGTGCAGGGGTGCCCGTGTCTCTCTGCAGGGATTGGGTGGTCCATTCTGTTGGTCTCAGAGACGACATTATTGTATGGGGGAGCAGAGGGGAACCAGCCTCTCAAAAGCTCCTCTTTGTTGGGGGTTCCCAGCACTGTGGTTCAGGTCTGTCTGTCTGGATTTCTGTGTGTTTGTCCTGAGTGGGATCCACTCAGTTCCCCGGCTCTGTTTTCAGTTACTGCTTCTCTGAGGGCTTGTTCAGCCTTGGGGATCCCAATAGTGTGAAACTGGGTAATCTCTAGTCTGCCTTCAAGTTCAAGGATCCCTGGTGGTGCAAACTGCAAGGACTGTGCTTGGAACCCACCATGAGCTCTGTGTGAGAAAGGGGAGGCGGTCAGCTTCAGTAAAAACGACAGCCTGGGGCATCCTAATGGGTCAGAATGGAACTCGGGGGCACACATGGGATCTTTCCTGCGTCCCACCATTCTACTGTGGGGCCATCCCCGGGAAGTTTTTTCATTTCACTGATGATAGTTTTCAGCTCCAAAAGTTTCGCCTGGTTCTCCCAGGTCCTGTCTTTGTGGAGGCTAATTTCCATCTGAGGGGTTCTCATGGTGGCTGGGTCACATCTTCACCCCAGACGGCTGTGGCCCTCTTCATTCAGGATGGGATCTCCCCAGTTCTTCTGATGAAGAGTGGGTTTAGAGTGAATCCTGAACATTTTGGGAGACCCTGAATTGTGACAACACCTCTGCTGTTGGCTTCAGGGAGCTGGCTTCCTCCAACGCTGCACCAACACCAAGGAAAACCAATAAAGCAGCTACGGTGGAGTGTGTGTGCCACAGAGCCGAATGGCCCACAGGGTGCGCCCGCCTGTCATCTTCGTGGAACCCTTTCTTCCCAGGGCCTCTGGGTGGCTTCCCAGTGCCGACCATTCAGTCAGTAGTTGAGAGCAGGGGGGTGTGGCTCACAACTAACTGCCTGCTGGGGGGTCCGGCTCGGTATCCAGCTGGACACCAGGACTGGCCAGGGTAGGGGTCACGGTTGTTTTCCTGGTGTTTGGCTTCTGTAGGACAGTCTTCTGTTTTGCCCCTTCTTGGCCCTTTGATGGGAGACAGGAGGCTTTTGCTGTCGGCATTCTGGAGTTGCCAGCTTCATGGGCTCCAAGACTGGTGTTGAGGCAGCGAGAGAACCCAGGAATTCCCACCCTGCCATTGCTTGGGTCCTGCCGTCCCTTGCTGACCTTCTCGACCCTGCGACGAGTCTCGGTTTTGTTCTATGTGGCAGTCAGCACTCTCCAGAGAGAACTGGTAGGTGGTGGTCACACACTAGTCCAGACCTTGCTCTGATCGTGGTCAGGCCTGGGGCAGCTGTCCACCAGCCTCCCTTAATGTTGTGTCTGCCCGGCCCGACAGCTGTGACCAGACCACAGCTGCCCCACTTACAGGGAGGGTGGGGAACATGCCAACACACAGTTCTCCTTGAGTTTTCTCAGCTGAGGGGGAGCTGCCCAGGCATACATCATACCGTTCTAAGTAAGGAAGCAATCGTCTATCGGAATGCCCACCCTAGCCAGTGGGCTGGAGGGGTCCGCTTGCCTCGTGGGGTCTCAATCTGCAGTGCCCAGCCCCACAAGCTCTCCTGGTGGGATTAAAGACAAGGGTCCAAGCTTCTCTTCTTCCCTTTCAGCCTGTTCGGCTCCTCCTCCCTCACGTAAGCCCTTCACTCATCTCACCTGGGGGGCATCCTGCCGGCGAAAGGGTTGTGGGCCAGCAGGGACAGGGCTCCGGCGTCATTGGTCAGCAGCTTGCCGGCCAGGTGGATGATCCACTCATGCTGCTCGTAGGTCTAGGGGGAGGCACCAGGGTTGGAATTTGGAGCAGCTTGAGGAAGCCCACCTGCCAGGTGCCGCCTCCACAGTCCCCGCCCACAGACAGTTACCACTGGGGCGGAGTCTGGGGAGACACGCGGAGAGCCTGGGGCTGTGGGAGGAGCCTCTGGGTGGGGCTTTGGGGGGCGGAGCTGTTGGGGGCGGGGCTGGACCCGGGTTCTGGGTCCCAGGCACGCCCCCCTCCCCCGTCTGCGGGTAGCGCCTGCGCACCTGGAAGGCCGCGAACCACATGAGCCAGTCCAGGCGGTGGTGGTAAGGGGAGATGAGGCACGGCCGCCGCCGGGGGTCGCCCGGCTTACACTTGAACTCGTAGTCTAGCCACACGGCTTCCGGGGCGCTGGCATTGGGGCTGGCCGTGCCCTGAAGAATGACCTCTGTCCGTTCTTTGGTGATGCTGTGGAGGCGGGTCACGGTCCATCCAGAGGCCCCTGCGCCCTACTACCTCCTACTGCTCACAGGGCCCAGCTCCTTTCACTGGAGATGGGTGGGCTCTGAGGCCTCAGCTCCCTGAGAGGAGCGACAGACAGGGCCTCCTCCGTTCCTGCCCTGTCACCCAGAGGAGTGGGGCCCAGCAAGAGCACTGGGATGGACCCTGAACCCGTCTTCTTTCTGAACTAGACACGGTGCCCACTGTGGGGGTGGGGAGCTAGAGTTGTCTGTGTCCTAGCCTTGGGAGCTCAGAACGGGCCTCAGTTAGAAATGGGGCCTTTGTAGAGGTGGAGTGGGTACTGGGTGGTCACCTTGGGGAGGGGTGGGTAGTTATTGGGAGGTCACTCTGGGAAGGGGTAGTAACTGATTGTCCACCCATGACGTCTACGGTATGTCCCCTGGTACCTTCCAAAGGCCCCATAGGTGTTGACGATCCTTAGTGGGTTGAAGGAGACATTCATCACCTGCTGGGAACTGAGCAGGTTGAGGACTACAGGGACGCTGAGGCAGCCGATGAGGGCAGCCAATGAGAGGTGGACGGCCCGCCGCAGCACACGGCCTGACAGAGAGATGGTATGGGTGAACCGTTGGCTCAGCTCCTCGGACCGATGGAGGCCAGCAACATCACCTACCTCTAGTCTGTGGTGGCCAGGCCCCCCGGGCTTCCTCCTTCTGCAGCTGCAGGACGCCATGTCTGAGGCCCCCAGGTCCAGAGGGAAACAGAAAGCCCAGGGCGGCATCGTCAAAGCAGGCCAGGCTGGGCACGATAGTCAGCCAGTTCAGGAAGCTCAGGTTCCCGCTGAGGATGATGAGTACCTATGGAGGAGACAGCTCTGGGCTGGGGTGGGGTAAGGGTCCTAGTCACCCTCCAGGGAAGCTGGCACATGTGCGGGTGTCATCTGAGCTGCGGAGGAACGGACACTCCCTCTCATCACATGGAAAACAGCCATTCCACTCCTAGGTCACGACAGGCCGCCGGCCTTTCTAAGTCTGTTATTATCCTAAAGTGCTGTGGAGTCAGGCCCCACTCACAGAAGTGGCTGCTGAGTTTGAACCGCTGACCTTGTGGTTCAAATGGAGCTTGTAGCGCGGTGCTTTATCCTAAAGTGCCATACCAGGACTCTTACAAAGCCTGGTGGTGGGGGTGGCTGTGTGCCGTGGAGTTGGTTCCGACTCATGGCAACCCTGCACAGGGTTTCCGAGGCTGTAAATCTTTATGGAGCAGAAAGCCTCATCTTTCTCCTGTGGAGCAGCTGGTAGTTTCGAATTGCTGACCCTGAGGTTAGCAGCCCGATTCGTAACCACTATGCTACCAGTATATAGAAGATTCAAGGTGCAAACAACGGTCTGTAATAACAAACGGGTGCTACTTTATGATGCGCAACAAAACATTATTATCAACTGCGAGTATTCACAGGAGTACCATTCCCAAGGGCTGGGAAGTAGGCCCTTCCCGAGTGTCCACCAGGATGAAGTGGGCCCTGCCTGAGCGTCCACCAGCAGGAGGTGGGCCCTGCCCGAGCGTCCACCAGGATGAAGTGGGCCCTGCCTGAGCGTCCACCAGGATGAGCTGGGCTCTGCCTGAGCATCCACCAGCAGGAGGTGGGCCCTGCCCGAGCGTCCACCAGGATGAAGTGGGCCCTGCCTGAGCGTCCACCAGCAGGAGGTGGGCCCTGCCCCAGTGTCCAGCAGCAGGAAGTGGAGAAGCAGCTTGTGGCACATGCACAGGATGGAGTATGGCTCAGCCACAGATAGGGGTGTGGAGCTGCAGAGGTAGGGAAGGAAAGTGGGCGGGCAGGCGTCTACCCGTGGGAGCCAGGGTTGTACAGCAGAAACAAACTATGGCACCTTTGGGGCTGTGACTCCCATGAAACCCATGCGTAAAGTCTCTGTTGCGGAGTCAGTTCCGACTCCCAGCGGTCTCGTGCCTAAGCGAGTGGAACGGTGTCCTCACAGTTGGCATGTTTGAACCCATTGTTACCACCACTGTGCCAGTCCATCTTGTTGGGGGTTTCCTCTTTTTCTTCGACCCTCCACTTTACCAAGTATGATGTCCTTTTCCAGGGACCAGTCCGTCCTGATACCATGTCCAAAGTACAGAGACAAAGTCTCCGGCTTTCAGTTCTCAGGGGCAATCTGGCCATACTTCTTCGGAAACAGCTCTCTTCATTCTTCTGGCAACCCACTGTACTTTGAATATTCTTTGCCAACACCATAATTCAAATGCAATGATTATTCCATAGTCTTCCTTATTTGCTGTCCAGCTTTCACACACATATGAAGTGATTGAAAATACCATGCTTGGTATGTATGGCATTTTGAGGAGTAAGGTCAGGTACACCTTAGTCCTCAGAGTAACGGCCCAGTTCTTCAGCACTCCAAAGAGTTTGCTCAATACAATATGCCATGTGAATTCCTGCTGCTGCTTCCAAGAGCATTAACTGTACATACAAGTAAAATAAAACCCTTGAAAACTTCACATTTTCCTCCATTTGTTATGATGCTGTTTAGTGGTCTGGTTGAGAAAGATTTTGTTCTCTTTACATTGACTTTTTTTTTTTT